TGGGAGACATTGGAGTCAATGGAGGTTCAATTCCCTCATCTATTTTCATAAGGTAAATTTCGAGGACGAAATTTCTTATAGAGGGGGAGAATTGTAACCACCCAAAAAAATTACAAAATAATGTTTAATTGAAATTTGAGGTTAATTATGAAATTTGGTGAAATTTGGGGACTAAATTGGAAGTTCTTTAAACTTGTAGCTTGTTTTAGAGTTAAAGGAAAATTCAGAGACCAAGCCCTGAATTTACCCTAAAATATTAGGTATTGGTTGTTATATACGTGAATTGGTTTCTGAAAATCAGAAACCAATTCCTCCCAAATTTCCCTCTCCCAACCTCAACTTCCGACGACGATCCCGACGCCGTCCGAATTTCGATCGCCGTTTTGAAAGCACCATCGTGTTCGTTATCGAGTCAGGAACAATCCCCTCAATTTAATTGAAGCAAAACGCTGCCAAACGTCGTGAATTTCAAGTCAAAGTATCGACGTTTTTTTAGCTCAATCGCCTAGAAAATCCTAAATTCATCGCCGATCGTTGCTCCGTTTACGACACCTCCCGCACCATCGTGTTCATTGTGCCGTTTCGAGTCCGCCGGTGTCATCCTCGGTCTCCGTCGACGGCTGCGCGTGGGGAGGTGGATCAGTCAAAGATTCGGCCGAGTCGAAATCGAGCTCTCCGCCGTTCAAAAATTTGAACCGATCTTTGTAAGTATCTCGAAATCGCTCAAAATAATTTTTAGAAATTTTTCCGTGAATTTTAGAGCCCCGGAGGACGTCGCACGCGCCACACGGGCCGCCGTAGCGCGAGTGAAATCTGGAAACCGGTTTAACCGGTTTTGAACCGATTTGACATGTCATGACCAGACCCGTTGACCCGACCCTACCCGTTGACCCGACCCGACGACCCAACCCTACCCGTTGACCGTTGACCGGTGCTATTATGGGAATTAATTCAGTTTTGGTGCTATTTTGGGAATTAATTCGAAATGGGTGCTATTTTGGTAATTTTTCCGAAAAAGGTGATATTCTGGGAATTAATTTGAAATTGGTGCTATTTTGGTAATTATTTTAAAAAGGTACTCTTTGTGTAAAATGTTTGACAGTTTGTTGACCTCTTTTGACCAGAACTTTGACCGGCTATTAAACAACCGTTAATATTTTTCAAAAATACCTATCCTGACAGTTTTTGACGTCTTGAATCCGTTTTTGGGGTCCGTTTTGCTAAATTCAAACCCGAAAGTCTCCAAATCGTCAGTCAAACCTGTTGACTTTCATTTTGACCAAGAATTCGAAATTTTGGAAGGTCATACTTTATGTTTTTCGACGTCCTGAATTTGATTCCGAAGTTTGTTTTGCCATATTCTGACCCGAAATTCCCGAATCGAGCTTGTAAACCCAAAAAGGCTCAGTATTTTAGTATTTTGATTATTTATTTGAGATATGGTTAAGGAATTGATTAAGTAAGATATTTTATGAAGGTACTCGTGTTTCAACTGAGCAAGGATCAGTCAGGTCCGGTGTTGTCCGTTCTTCAGATCAGTCAGAACCGCGTATTACAAGACTACCCGATCTAGCGCTGCAGCAGAGCGTGATCGACAAAACCAGTAATAAGCTTCCCTATCTGATTTCTCAAACTGTTACAGGTGTGTTTCCCTACCAGTGTTATCTTACAGTTATAAACTATATATCCGAACTGGTTTATATTATGAGAATATAATATACTTTATGAAGAAATATCCGGTATTTTGAATAATGTTTACTAAATGTCTGATTTACCGTATAATTTTTATATGGTTTATAGTTATAGTATTTTTGGTACATGATTTCTAAATATGGAACATTTCCATATTTAATGGATTAATTATTGTTTTTACTTCAATGCATACATGTTTATTTTGTCATTTGGGGTACGATTGAAGGAAGTATTATCAGGTCCCTTTGCTGTGTGCGATGGTAAGCCTTACAGTTTACCAGGTCCCTTTGCTGTGTGCAAGGGTAAGCCTTACAGTTTCCCAGGTCCCTTTGCTGTGTGCGAAGGCAAGCCTTACAGTTTACCAGGTCCCTTTTCTGTGTGCAAGGGTAAGCCTTACAGTTTCCCAGGTCCCTTTGCTGTGTGCGAAGATCAGCCTTACAGTTTACCAGGTCCCTTTGCTGTGTGCCAAGGTAAGCCTTACAGTTTCCCAGATCCCTTTGCTGTGTGCAAGGATAAACCTTACAGTTTTCCTAGGCTCCTCTACTTTGTGCACAGGTTAAGCCTTACTGGTGTATAGGCGGGGTACGGTTCAGGTGAACCTACACAATTTGGTGATTGGATGGGGGTAGTGTGCATGTTATTAAAATATATTTGATAAATTGTTTTATCTTATCTGAATTATTTTGTTATGTATATGTTATACACTGTATGGGACACACTGGGTTTTTTAGCTCATTCTGTAAATTTTAACCTTTTTCAGATAACAGCAGACCGTAAGCTAGTAGATTTGGCATCAGGAGAAATCAATTACTTTATTTTGTACGAACATATATTTCTATATGTTTTTCGGTTATGTTTGGTGACATGTATTTTATTATCGTTTTGGACTTATCTGTATTATTAATATTATGTTTTATATTATATTTAACGTTCTATAAGTTATATAAAAAAAAACCTCTGAATGGGATATGTGACCCGCTTAGGTTTGGGTCTATCTTACAGACCGGGTCTGGGGGTTACAGAGTCCCCCTTGATCCACCAATAGTTTAACTGCATCCCGTCGAACCAAAGCAACTCCACCAGAATCCCCATGATTATTCCAAATAAACCTTCGAATAAGCTTTTCCAACGCATCACAGATTCCTTTTGGGAGCGAGGTCGACTGCATTGCATAGCTTGGAATTGCTTATAAGACTGATTTTGCAAGAGTTATATACCTAACAAGCGACAATGTCTTCGCCGCCCAACCCGACAATCTTTGCTCAACTTTTTCAAAAAGGTATCCGTAAGTAGCCTTAGTTACACACTAGTGTAATAGAGGCACTCCTACTTTCCCAAATCGAGAACTTCTTTAAATCCAAAGCTTTGAGTTATTATATTCTTTCGGGCAACATCACATTTTTTGGGGAAAAAAAAAGATTTCAGTTTTGCAGCACTCACTTTATGTTCAAACGAAGCGCAGAATTTCTCCATAACATCCTTAATGACCGCCATTTGATCCATACTAGACTCAGAAAATAAAATTAAGCCATCTGCAAAAAATAGGTGAGAGATGTCGGGTCCATTACGGGAGAGTTGTATTTGCCTCCAAGTGTCAGATTGAACACAACGATTAATCGCATGGGATAAGCGCTCCATACAAAAAACGAACAAGTATGGAGATAGGGGTCACCTTGAGGAATACCCCGAGACGGAGTGAAGCTCTCCAGAGCATCCGCATTCCATATAATCTGTGTTGAAACAGTAGTAATGCATAACATGATCCAATTAATAAATCTCGCCAGCAGGCCTACTTTCTCAAGCATTTCCTTTACGAAACCCCATTCTAACCTGTCATAGGCTTTCTCAAGATCCACCTTGATTGTCATCCATGTTTTTGCCCCTTTTTTCAAATTCCTCGAATGTATAACCACCTGTGCAAGGATTATATTGTCTGTTATATTCTGCCAAGGGATAAAGCTCGACTGATTTTGAGAGATCCAATCCGGAAGAAATGGTTTAAGACGGTTGATAAGAATCTTCGTTATAATCTTATACGGCACTGTACACAAACTAATAGGGAAGAATTATCCTCTCAGGAGCCTCCACTTACGAAATTAACACTAAAAGTGTTTTATTCGGCCATTCCTCAAGGACATCCATCTCAAAAAAACTCCTTTACAAAACATAACACACTCTTCCCCAGCGTCTGCCAATTCCTTTGGAAGAAAATAGCTTGATAACCATCAATATCGGGGGCCTACAGGGGATCTATCATGAAAAGAGTGCTCTTCACCTCCTCAATGCTAACTGTTCCAGTTAAAACGCTTACCTGATTCATAGTCAAACGATTAAATCCACCTTTAAACTCATTCCACGTCAATTGCCTAGCTTCGGATTGAAAAGATTGCCAAAAAAAAAATTAATTGTATTTTCTTCCAACCTCTCAGAATCATCGCTCCACGTTCCTTCCTCGAACCTCAACATTCGAATATGGTATACTATTTTCTAATAGCACAAAGAATACCAAAATGCCCAATCAGGGGGGAAATGTTCTAAAATGCAAAAATATTTTTTATTTAATAATTTATGTATTATTTATAATAATAATATTTATATTTATGTTTATTATTAAGTTATTTCATAAATTAATTTCATGAATTAATCCGATATCAATTCAACTAAAAATGATTAAATTATTTTTATTTTGAATATTAACTGATATTTTTATTGTTGGGTAAACTACTCAGTTGACCACTTAACTATTTAACCCTTTTAATTTTGCTAACGATCTTTCAATTTTGTCAATAACACCATATAACTATTTAATTGTTTCAATCAAGCCACATAACTATAATTATGCCAATTCCTTTTAACTGCCACGTTATCATTTCCGTCAACAGATAATGACTAGTAGCTTGATTAAAACAATTAAATAGTTAAGTGGCGTGATTGACAAAATTGAAAGATCAATGACAAAAGTAAAAAAGATAAATAATTAAGTGGTCAATTGAGTAGTTTACCCTTTATTGTTTTATAATTTTATGTAATATTTAAACGAATAATTAAAAATTACTATTTAATTATTAAAAAATTAATCATATAATCAATCATATATTTAATAAGAACTTTTATATATAATTTTTACCATTACATACGTGTTCATTGTTAAATAAAATTTAAATAAAAAGTTTACGAACTAATCTTTAAAGGAAGAGACTACTCATTTTTTTATATAAAAAAAAATCATAATTAGTCATTTAACTGCACACAAAGTTGAGCCGTTGGAAAAAGCCAGGGTAAGACTGCATATATTGCAAAATAATCTGCAATGTAATCAAAGATTATCCCTGCATTAATGGTGATCAAAGGGGAGAAAGGGAAAGTAGCCCTATTCTTCCAAGATTACAAAATACCAGTGTATAATACACAAACTATCCATGAAAATATACCTACTTTTACAGTAATGTCGAATAAAAGTTGAAGAGTTTAAATGGGGTGACCATCATCAAGCTAGTCACATAGATTTAGCACCTCACTTCCAGTGCCCCAACTAAGGGTCGTCAACTGAAACCCGATCAAAATTCGGAAAAATATATATATTATCTTGTGTAGCATGAAGATGCAGAATACATTTGAAATGATAAGCATTTGGGGAGTTCAAAGGTTTGGCGAAACAGTTTTATCTCCAGTTGCGGAAATCTGATTCATTTTGGAAATTTCACCCGGTAGAGGTTCGGATCAATATACTCTACTGTCACAATCCGGTTATCGAATAACCGTCCATTTATAGAATGTGCAGCCATGCATGATGCTTCTGTTCTTCTATACTCAACAAACACACAACCAGGCTCAAAAATCCAGTTCAAGTTGTTATCCTTGCTATTTTCATCCTTCTGAATAGCATCTAATTCTGTTCCTGGACTACCAGCAGAACCATCGATAGCTTCTGGTAGCCTTCCATAACCTTCCTCCTGATGCAAATCTTCTCTGGGCAACGATTTCTTATCGACATTTATGATTTCACTATCAATATTATCAGCAACGTTGTCATATCGAGAGTCTGGTTTCTGCAGGGTAGGGATCTCCTGAACACTTGTTATTGCCTCGCTCTTAAAGGCAGGATCTTCAATTGCCACCTTAGTATGACCTTCTGGTAATTCTCCATCGATTTCATCAGGATTTGCACTTTCTTCAACTACTGATATCTTATCAACAGTTTTGGTTTCTCTTTTAAGGTTATTATCAGAATACCTGTCAGAATGATAATTTGATTCGTCTTTCGACGCATGGACCAGATTAGGGACCTCTAGAGAATTTGTCTCGTCTAAAATCTCCAAGGTCGGATCTTCCACAACCATTTCAGTAACAACCTGAGCTCCAGCAGCCATGTTGCTATCAAGCACCCCTGGCTGATCTGGCTCATCATCCAAACTCCCATGGTTTCTGTCTTCTCTATTCATGTTACCTTCGAACTCACCTTGTCGACATAACCCACTGTCCAAGAGGTTGCTAACAGGTTTCTTATCTTTATACGTGTTGCCAACCCCTACTTCGGGAGAATTACACGAAAAAGTTAAACCACCAATGCCTCCAGAGTTTCCATCAGCAACTTCTTTTGTAGTCTTGGTTTCGACACTTATTTCATCATCTACTACATTCTGTACATTTCCAGTTTCCCTCGTATAATCATCCATTTTGTTTTCTCCATTTGTGATGATACCGTTTCCATGGTTGACAACATTAACAGATTTAATAGTACCAAACCTGCAGAAATGATATATGTATATATGAGCACACACACACATATTCAGATTAACCCAACAAAAGAAATATGACCATGAAAGGAGATAAAATTGAAATAGGGGTTTTGTAAGACCTGGAACACTCTACCCGTACATCTGCTAGTACTTCTTCCACCTCAGTTCCTGATAAAGATGAAAAGTTCTCTGGGAACTAAGCCACAAAACAAAAACAATAATTAAGATAAGAAAGATGAATTTCTTTCCAGGAAAAAAGAAAAAAACATAAGTGGACTACAAATAAACTTATCTACAGCACATCTAAATTAGATCATTACCAATATAACTACAAATTGATCTAAACCATATACTTTACCAGATTTTTAAGCTTAAGGACTTGAGTAGGTTTCTGAAGAAGTGGCCTCGCAAGTTCAGGAATAATACAGGAATTTAGATCACCATTTCCCTAGAACAAGTATCTCTAGTTAGTACAAATCTCCACATAATATTACGGCTAGTAAAGAAAAAAAAACTAGGGGGTGAAGCTAGTTAGAAAGCAACAGTGCTTGTTAGTACCGATGAAAAGCCATCAAGAACAGCCTCAACTGCAGTCATTACTTGCCCTCCCAACTTCATTCCGTTCAGACCAGCACAGGCTTTGTGAGAAACAGATTGGTCGACATACTGACATGAGTTTATCAGATAATCAAGTCAGGCAGAGTAGATTTGTTTACACGTACAAAAGAAAATAATAGATGTAAGAAAGAGTTGTAAGAACAAAAGCAATGATTTGACAATCATTTGAACAAAAAAAAGGCAACCAACAATACATTCCATGTTACCTCGACCATAGCATATTGTTCACCAAGAACCTTGTTCATAGCAAAGTGATATGTCTTCAAAGGACCAAAAGAATTAGCAATCTCCATGAACTGAAAATTGCATACAAATCCTAGTCAGTTTATAAGGGTGATAAAATTATAAATGGAAATAAGAGAGAATGATGATTAGTAGAGAAGAGGAAGAAGATGCAGGAATAAAAGGACCCTAGATAATCTGTGTGCAGCATTGGGACTTCTAGAGTCATATTACCATTTCAGATGAAATAGCCTTTGAAATTCCACCAATGAATATCTGCACCAACTCACAAGGAAAAGGAAATAATATAAAGATTGCCACAAAAAAGGGAAAAAACAGTACAAGTAGACTGAATGCCATCCGCAAATGGTGCATGCCGTAATAATGAAAAAGGAAAGGGAAAAAACAACAGCAAGATGGGTACGAGTAAATTACAGAAGTGCAGGCGATGCCTTAATAGCATGCAATTCACATCATTTATGGAAAAGAGTAGCAAAGACTAACATTATGAACACATACCTTGTGATGTGAATCCTCCACAACATCATCGACTGTGGTCAGTGTTGCTCCTGATTTCTCCAGTTCACCAGTCTGCATGAAAATAGCAACTGTCTGAAAACCTGCTACGATGGTAACCACAATTGACCTCAGAAACAGCAAAGCAGTTGAAATGTACTAGCATCTTTCTGGCAGAACAGAAATTGCTAATTAAATTACAAACATTTTATCTAAGACTAGATAAATGAAGGGAAAACATATAAAAGTTATCCAGGTTATTTGACGTCTGAAAGTACAACAATATTCTAAATTACACAAATGCACCATGATGTGCAGAAACATTTGAAAATAAAACTCTTTTAGGCTTCATAGGTTCAAAAATTATCCAGTGGAAAATCAGAGGTGTGGTGGGGGCTCGCAATTGCACCACATTGATGTGCCGAATAGAACCTTAATATAAGCCCCATGTATCAGCGCACAGCATAGACACAAACCCCAAAGAGTCAACCTTATGGATTTAAATGGGTATTCCCAAATACAAGTAAAAATATTGTAAAAGTTACTTGATTTAAGGAGCAGTTTAAGAATTACACACCACTGAACCTTACTATAAGAGGTTAGTTAAGGTGTTTTGATGGGTCCAGTGGAAAATAAGAGGTTGTGTGGAGGGAGGACTCCCCAGTGCACCACACCAAGGTGCCAAATGGCACCTTCATATATGCTCCATCTATCAGTGCACAGCAAAGACACATACGCCAAGGTGTCAAGCTTATAGATTTAAATGGGGACTCCTAAATCCAAGTAAAATATCGTAAAAGCTACTTAAGAGGCATTTTAAGAATTGCACACCAAACTGTAGAGAAAGGAATAATTACTTCTGTAGATGAAAAGAATTAATTAAAAACATAGAAAACTTCTAATCAGCATGTTCTACAGGTCATACAGTACCAAATATATATAATTGCTGACAACTGAATTAGTTAGACAGAAGTTACAGAATTTAAAATTCCCATAAGTCATTATACCAACAGCAATAATTACAAAGACTAATTATGAAATTTCTAGTCATAAATACTTTATCTTGGTTTTTGAGACAAAAAAATTGCAGTGTTAATAATAACATATCAGCATTTAAGCAAAAGAGATTCCTAAAGATTGTCCATAAATAAATTCAGTATACACAAACAAGAAAAAAAAGTGTATAATAAATCTGAAAGAGAGAAAAGAATACATATATCCACAAAGATCAATAATTAAAGTAACAGAGTTATTATTTGTAGTACCACTTCAACAAAGTCCTTTGGCCGTCTGATTTTGAGAACGGAACCAGAGAAAGTACTGCCATCAAAAGAAAGAGCTGCAGAAGCATCCTCTGGCGTAAGGAATTCAACAAGAGCTTGGCCGTTTCCTTTGTGTATCTGCAATTTGTAAGGCATAATATCACATCTTTCTATATAGCATTCATATGTTTAGCACGAGAAAATGTACACCATCAAAATAATACATCATACTTACAATGCAGCTAATACATGGTTTGGTCCTATGGATATGACTAATTCCAGATGAAAGCAAAAAATTATTGAAGGATTCCATCAGAGCTTTTTCAGAGGCTGAAGGGGGAACATTTTCTACATAAAGCCTTCTCATAGGCCTGGTAGCTTCTGTCAGCTGAACCGAGTCAAAGGATAAAAAACTGGTTGAAGCCACAGCTAGAGGCTTCCCTGTTGCAGAAACACTGGGAACAGGATTGACTATAGCATGCATGTTTAAGGAAACCATTTGACTTAATGCTGGTAAATTAGAAGAAGCTGAACCAGAAAACAGATTTTCTGTTTCTGAAATTGCAAGATCCCACTTAGCTGTTCTCTTCTCTGTTGAGCGATGAACTGGGGAGGGCGACCTAACAGCAGCTTCAGTCTTTCTTTTCCTTGGATAGTAGCCACCAAGACCGCTAGTGGACCCGCCATGTCGCCTATGGTGACCAGTTGAACCGTTACTTGTCATTCTACTCCTGTCATCAGAATTTTGTATTCCAAACCTCCCTTTTATACCATGAGAGGAAAGTTCACGCTCTGATGCAAGATGATATGCATGCTTGTGCGCCCTTGGTGAGAGAGAAATAGATCTTCTATGCCTGTTGTCATGCTCCCGGCTATGTGACCGTCTCCTTTTATGGTGTGAATCCTCATGATGGGATCTTGATGGTTCTTTTGTCTCCTTCTTGTCTCTACTTTCTGAAGCATGCCCCTTTTGACTCTCATGTTTTTTAGTAGTATGTCTTTCTCTATTTTGTTCATTGTCTCTAGTTTGATGTTTTCTCTTGTCATCTCTCACAGATTTCCCCTCACTTCTACTTACATGGCTATCCGCTAAGTCTCTAGAATGCTTCTTTGTATTTACCTTTTCTGAACCACCAGCTGTTTGCTCAGCTTTTCTCTTCACATGAATTTGTTTCTCATGCTTGCCTTCATCCTTGACGCCCGTATCTTTTCTCACCTCAGACTTCAATCTTCTTTCAGGCTCATGATTCTCCCTAGTTTTCTGTTTAGAGATGTTATCATTTATCCTATATGAATTATCTATTTTCTTGTTGGAACTTCTCTTCTCCATTCCCTCCAATAAGTTCTTTTCATGACCAAGAGAAAAATCTTTTCCGTGCCCGTTCCCGCCATCAGATTTGTTAACATTAAAATCATTCAGGATTGGGCTGTCCATCGCTATCTTTCTCACTTTTATATTTCCTTCTTTGACACTTTCAGGATTATCACTAAGTTTTTTATTATTCCTCTTTAACATAATCTCTTCATAGTTGAAAGGCCTAGTCCGGGCTGAAGTTCCTTCATTGGAATCATGTTGTGGGTGCTCCCGAACTTTTTCGTGCTTTACCTTAGGCCGACTTGATCTGCCCATCTTACCAAGTATACTAACTAGTAACTACAATACTTCTCAAATTCACTAAAAGAACACACTAAGCACTCAGTCCAATAACCAAGATGCATATCATAAGAAAGCCTCAATACCAAATTCTGATAAGCATCTGAAGGTTCTTTATTTACTGCAAATAAAGTAACACACAATATGAGAAAAATGACATTATTTTTCATACGGTAATGAAAAAAATCCACAAATAACAACCTATTTTACTATATGACAATTCTACATACCATTTTCATTGCTAGAAACCACTACTAAAAGAACCCTAACAAAATTTACAAAGGAACACTTACTTTTCCAACATTTTAGCCTTCAGGTAATCAGTTTCTTATACAGACAGAAACAATAAAAGAAACCCATGCATTCTATTCTTAAAGTTTTTTTCTAATAAAGAAATGAAATTATAAGAAGTACCCAGAAGAGGAAAAAGAATACGAGGAAACTTAATCAAACTTTCACCCAAGTTCTGTTCTAATAAAGAACTCGAGACCCAACAAAGATTAGAGAAAACAGAGCAAGTAAAAAGGTTTGTACCTTGAAGCCAAGCCAAGATCGGTTGGGGTACACAGTTACCTTGCCTTGGGTAGGAACTTGAAAACCTAGAAATTGAACTGATATAGCTATCGTTAAAATAAATGGAAGGAATGGTACGATGCAAGGGTTCCTACCTTTTTCTTTTTATTATTATTATTTTGTTTAATTTCAATTTATTAGAGGGATGGTTTTTTCTCTCATTATTATGGAAATTCAATTGGGTAAAAAACAGAATAGTAATCCAAAAATATTGTATAAATAGTATTATTTTATATTTCTTACCATTTATGTTTGATGCACATTTTAAATTAAATTTACCTAATTTTTTGGGTAAAGTACAAAAATGGTCCATCGACTATAGGGTTTACTTTGTTGAGTCTATTGACTATAAAAAATTACAAAATGGTCACTGACTTTAGGATGTTGCTTTGTTGAGTCCATCAACTATTAAAAGTTACAAAATGGTCACACGACTATCCATTATGTTCCAAATTTGTATTTTTTCATTAAAAAATGACGACAATTTGAGTTGGAAGTTAATATATTGTTTGAGATGTGATAAAATATGATCATAAAACATCAAACTACTATCATATCTTGGACAACATATTAACATCTAGTTCAAATTACCGTCATTTTTTAATGGAAAATGACGAGTTTGGAACATAATGAATAGTCAGATGATCATTTTGTAACTTTTAATAGTGAAGGGACTCAACAAAATAACATTCTATAGTCAAAGGACCATTTTATTATTTTTAATAGTCGAGGGACTCTAAAAAGCAACAACCTATAGTCGAGAAATCATATGTATATTGTACCCATTTTTTATAATATATCTTCATTAAATTTACTAATCGGACATAAAATTACATGTTATTTATATATCAAATATTAATTTACTGATATTAAATTACATGTTATTTAAGATACTCATACTAACTATTTGCTGATGAGATCAAATAGATTATGATGAATATAGGTGGTTCACCCAATCTAGTTTGGGTGGAGAGTTACCATCGATAATAGATCGCTTATTGGACAGTGTCAAAGTATTATGTCTCCAAGAAGATGTAGAGAAAAAGGAAATCATAAGGGTGAGTTTGTTTTATTTGAATAACATAATGTCTCTTGGTCTTGGTACGTTGATAGATTTTATAATGGTCTTTAATGTGTTTGTTAGTTGTAAGGTCATGATAGCTACTAGTATGCTAGTTGACTAAGTAGATAAGATCAGGTGACTCTGGATTTGACTCTGACAAGTCGCATGGTCTTGTCAAAAGTAATATCAATAAGTCATGATTTCCCGAGATTTAGGTATTCAAAATAATTCTTTTAGAACTCTGGGGATGTTGGGTGTCTAAGACTCTCCATTCGGAGACGTTATTTCAAGCTCATTCGTAGTGAGTACGTTCTTCAAGTGTATTGATATATGCAGATGATATAATAATTGTCTCTCCTTAATTGAAGGAATTTTATAAAATGACTTAACTTAAACTCACATACAAAGATATGATTTTTTGATAAATATGTCATTATTCTTTTTGGACATTGCGGTGATAATTATTATTTTTGAATGATAGAAGAGTGTGCATATATCATTACAGTGCGAGTGATGATATGAGACACAATATATTAAATGATGAAATTACATGACACACTTCCATTATTTAAAAATGAATACAAAGTAACATCATTATTTACTTTCTTTGTTTGGTTTTCAACCACAATTTTCTCTACAATGTTATCTGGTTTCCTTTTGAGTCTTTTTTATTGCCACGTTGAAGAGTATAGTGAGGGTAGTCATTGTTTTAGAAGAGAGTTGAGGCATGTAACACCTCAGAAATTGATCTAAATTTTTTTCAAGTATGTTATTTTGATAGTTGATTATTCTTGAAATTTGATTAATTTAATTTTATGGATTAAATAATAATTGATTTCGGATAACGATTTAGTTATGAAAATAGAATAAATGTTGCATTTGAAGACTTTAGTAAAAAAGCCAAATTTAGGGTCTGTGTGATAGTTTAACAATATTTTTTGGAGAATGAATTTTGAAAAATAAATTACATTTTTAGAAAATAATTCCAGAAATCATTTTTTTTGTGTTTGTATGATGTTGTGTAAATCATTTTCAACTGTTTGATAAGCATTTCAGAAAATAATTTTTAGATTTTTTTATTGTAAAACAAAATATATTATAGATTTTATTATTTCATTACCTTAATTTTTAAGTTAATTGATTGCTATAAAACTACAACCGATAAAATTTTAAATGTAATATTATAATGTGTAAGTATGATCGATAAATTAAAAAATATTTTTCATAGAACTGAAAAAGAATTAGTAATACACGATGTTAAACAACAATATTACTTAACTATATGTCTCCAACATGTATTTTTATGTACTTTGAGGGTCATATACTCGTGCAAATGTTTGAAGAGTTTCAGACACAAATATTTCAAGAAAAACATAGAGATAGAGTAATATAGGACACAATGAAACTTTCATCAATGACGTTCATCGCAATTTGTGTTCTCTTCAATGCAAATGGACCTACATTCAAAGAATAGAAGTTCCGAAGCTAAGACTCGGACCTTAAACAAAAAAGAGAATTTTTAGTAATTATCACAATAACACTCGCCAACTCTCTTGCTTCATATTAAAATTATTTCTAAGGTGTTATAAAGATTAGTAAATATGAATTTTCATTTGAGTTTTCGCACCTTTTTCTGGGCAACCAAACAGCCAAATTCCAAAGAATAAAACAAAGGTTTACATATATGAAGAACCAGGGAATCACTAAATAAAGAAAACAATGGTCAAATCGACCTCATGTGTATGAACTTATAAAAAAAGATTTAATAATAACATTGTAATCATCAACTTGACAATCAAAAACAAGTAAATCCCAAGTTGAAACCGAAAAGAAAAAGGGCAAAGCAGAAGTGGAAGCAAAGTACCCAAATAGAAAGTTCTTTTCTCCTTATCAAACAGATCCTTAGATGTTAAAGTGAAAACAAGATAAAAATTTATCAAAATAAGCTATTATGATATAAATTAGATAACTGATAAATGATAATTTTTAGTGGGTATGTGCTATCTTGGTAGAATAGTTTTGTGTAAGCTTGTAAAAATAAATTTGTTTTATTAGCTCTACTGTGAAATCTAAGGTTATAATTTTTTACTTAAGAAAGAGATCGAAAAACTTAAGAATTAATTCTTCATCCTTTGTATCTTTATATGATTCACAAATTATCAAGTGTGGTTAAAATTCAAAGCCTAAAATGATAAGAGAAGACATGAGTCTGAAACATAAAGAGATAGGTCTTAAACCACTTCGGTTGAAAAAAAAACATAAAAGGAAAACTTGTTATCCTTTGTATCTACTCACAAACTGTCAGTTGTGGTTAAAAAAATAAAATGATTTATCAATTTTCGAGCGATAGGTCTTAAGCTCATTTGATTGAGAAATTCATCGTCGATACTCAACTTAATTTTCTAAGTTTCGTGTGATTAAACAAAGTCATGTGAAGACTTATAGTGTACATCATTTCATATTTATATGACAAACAATATACATGCATAAGGTTGAACTTTTGCTCTTAATGGATTCATAGCTCAAGTTTTGGATAGTGCTAATAAAGAGGACTATAAGAAACCACCAATGTGAAAGGATGAGTTTTGTATTCTTAACGAGTTCATAACCTATGTTTTGGGTAGTCTTTTTTTATAAAGACTTGATGAACTCACTGAAAGTATATGATGAATTATTAAATGTTGTTAATGAATATATATCCCAGATTTTGGCTGGTCCATGTTAGATGAACTTGATGAATTTACATTATCTTAAAAATTATAAGGTTGAGCTTACTAAATATTTTTAATGATTTTATAGCTCTAATTTGGATGGTCTATACTAAGATAAACTTGATGAAATCACCTACATAAGTGTGAAAAACTAGTCACCTTCCATAAAAGACCTTGAGTTATTTTTCTAAAGCACTTACCAATTCCTGAGGTATATTGGCTAAAATATTGATCTATCGTGAAATTTATATAGAGAATAAATTAGTCATATGCTATGAGCTTATTTTTATTTTAATAAACTTTAAATTCGTTCACTTATTAAGAGAATAATTTCTTATTCCACTGTGTATTAGTTCCATATATGTTCACTAATACTTACGTGATTAATTTCATTGTTTCTCTTTTCTTGCATAAAAAAATCTCTACTTATTGGTATTAATGATGCATTGTTAGTAATGCAAATAATGGATAGGAGAAGGTTACCCATATAGAGAGAGTGGATGATTATCACTTGATAATTTTACCCATATGTTACTTTTATATAAATGGTTATCCTTTCTCATATCTAACTAAGAGGAGATACACTTATTCTATTTTACCTCCTCTTAGCCATGTAATAGAGCTTCACTTTTCTTTTCTTTTTTTTTTTGCTAATACAGACACGAGAAAGTGCTTAAATTATGTAAGCCAAATCCCGTTCATAATGACCAACAACATCTGCAGGAGGAGCATGGAAAAGCCTTTCGCCAACTGGACAACTTCTCAATAGCTTCGTTAATTGATCGGCCACCGCATTCACTTCGCGATGAACATGGCTGATTTTAATCTCCTACTGACGGTTCAACATTCCTTTAGTCAGGTCTACTACTACATTACAGTCTACGTTAACAATTTGCTTATTGAGCATATCCACTGTTATGTTTGGCTTGTAAATTGTCAAATTTGGCAAGTTGGAAAATTCATCTTTGGTAGGTGGTCAACTTTGCACATGGGAATTTCATCTTGTTTGGTGGCCAACTTATTGGAAAATTCATCTTTGGTAAGTGGCAAACTTTGCACATGTGAATTTCATCTTTGGTCCCTAAAATATTAGGTTATTTATAAGTTTAGTCTTTAAAACTCAACTATAAATATGCCTAAGTATTTCATTAGAAACCATCCCAAAAGCTTGTTTTCTTCATTCTCTCACTTTGGGAATTCTAAAGAATTCTAATTGTTATAATATTTTGTTTATAGTGAAGCTGTCATCCGGTGTGGTGCCCGAGGAGTAGATGATATTCTCATCGAACCTCGTAAATTTGGTGTGTTCTCTCCTTTATTGTTCTTTATTCGGTTTTTCCATTGT